TCTGCAGTCCTGGGAGCAGAGGGGCCATGCTGGCCACTGTTTCTGACAGCAGGACAAGTTCCTGGCAGTCTTGACATGACCTGTATCTGTGCAGTTTGATGGACTCTTCTATAATTAACCATTGTCAAGAACACTTCTGAAAATGCCATTTCAAATAGGAACATCAGATTAAGGAGAAGAGAGGTAATGAGGTGCAAGGAGAAAATCCTTCCCTGGGGGACAAAGCAAACCCGATACCATCATGAAGGGTAATGAGAAATGCGCTGCCGAACTGAGGAGATGCACCAAAGCTGCCTAGAGGAAGCGAAACCGTGTATTCCTATTTAAAACACCAGAGAGGGGATGCGAATGTTTTGGTCTGCTGGTTAAATGAGGGGACGCGCAGCTTGCACACCTGCCTATTGCATGTAGTTTTGCCACACGTTTCCTGAGTCCCCGGGCAAGTCATTTCACTTCCCTGTGACATAAGGTATGTCTGCATAGATGTATGCGAGTCAGTGCCAGCAGAGTGTGCCTGCACACCCACACGGCAGGTTCTGAAGTTATGACTGTATCTGCGCTGCTAAATAACTCGGGGCTAAGCAGCGCAGACTAGTCCTGTCCGCACTACACAGAACGTGGCTGGTCTCTTCTTTTTTGGTCTCAGATGATGTCTCTGTGGCCCTAAGGCAATACTGTTTTTTTTATCTTTTCCCCAGTTTGTAGTACCTTTAATAATATGACACCTTGCAGCAGACCATCACAGCAGTATGTTCATAGCATCAGTCTGAGGGTTTGTGTTGCATATTCCGGCATGTGGCAGGAAGGCCTGTGGCTGTGTCTCGAGGAGCAGAACCAGTTCTGTTGGTGTCGGAGGACCGCACAGGGTGGAAGGAGCCAGACCTGTACTCTTCTGTCCTTGTTGCCGGTGGGAATCCTGTGCCCTGGAGCTGGCGTGAGTGTCCCTTGGACCGGCAGTGCCAGGCGCTGCGCTGGCAACGAAACAGTGTTGCCCACCTGTGATCCTGTAAATCAGTTTGTTTTCTGGCCCTGCTGTATTGAGCAGTTCAAATGAAACCTGTGTGGCCGTGTCAGCATGGCTGTATGCCCACACTGATAGAGAAGTCAGGGTATATTATTTCACGTGCGGTGCTACACAGTTGAAGGACCTGTGGCCACAAGAGCTCATGTCATAGATATAGCAAGTATTAGGTGACTGTCGTCACAATTGCCAGCCTTATTGGGATACCCAGTAGCTTAATTAAAGTGTGTAAGAAACATTGATATTCTCTGCGTAGAAACTGGAGCAATACATTGTTGCTTTAGATGGTGTTCTTAGCCTTTAGCAGTTTGCAGACCACATGTAAATATTGCAGGAGAAACATGGATTACCTGTAGCAAAAGCCTCCTGACTGTGGGTGTGCTTTCCGGGGCTCCTGGCATGTAGTCACAGGACCCTCGGGGATCCAAGAACCACCAGGTAACGACTACAGACACATCAGGGACATGGGATGTTACAAGGAGAGGGACAGAAGTAGGTGGTGAACGTGAGACCTCTCTTAGGAGGCACTAAAAACCAATGCGTGTTTGATGCGCGAGTACTTGCTCTGTCTTCTCGGGGACAAGGATGCCATTTCCCAGAGCGGTCTTTGGGAGCAGAGGGAGTAGGATGTAGGAAAAGAGCAAGCCTGTGGGCATCCTGAGTGGCAACCAGTGGTCCAGCAGGACTGGAACGGCCTGGGAGCATTGGGGCCCTGTGCCAAGAGGGGTAAGACATTCCTACCCTCACTTGCCATCCTGTTGATGTACGCTCACTGCTGATAGTAATCTTACGTGTCTGCAATCTTGGTCTCATCTGTCTGCAATCTTGGTCCCATCTGTGTGTCACCTCTCATCCTCTGACAGCTCTTCCCCCGCGCTGCCGCAGGCACCACAAGAGGTTTTGTTGCTCCCCAAGTTACATGGTGGGGAAGCGTTTTCTCCGTGCAGCACTCTGCTGTTCATAGCTCCCGGGGTAGGTTTTGGGGCTAATGCTGCTTGAACTGCCTTCAGGCTCCTTACGGGGTAGCTGGGTCTTTTTTCTCCTGAAAGTCTTGCTTGGCGTTTTACTTAAATCTTGTGCAGTGTGGGTTGCGTGGATATTGGACAGTGTGTTGTGTGTCAGAGGATTCATTATTGCAGTGCTCCAGTGGAAGAAAAATATAAGGGTAACTATTAAAGTATTTACAGCATCATTTTTCATACTGAGATTTGCACAAGCTTTTTTGAGTTATTCAGCATAAAAAAATCCATGATTGTAGAGGAACTGACGCATTAAAACAGACTCTGTTTCTCCAGAGTACCGAGAAGAAAACACGGTGCTTTAATACATCTAAATTCACTCGAGTGTGCCCTGTGCTATCAGTTAAACTGCACGGTTCCTGCCAATTCCCTCTTTCCTTCGTGCTTCCCCTGACTTGTCATCTTCTTGTCTGTAATACAGATGTAAGGAGAAAAAGGCACCTTTTTGCTCTGCAGGTTTGCCCCTTGTGTGTGTTCGTACCTGTCCACGGTAGTGACTGCAAATGTTTCCTGCTTTTTGCCATGGAAGTCACATGAAGTGAGGACAGCTGAAAAAATGTGTAAGGCAGAGTGTGTTTCTTTCGGTGCATCGTTAGTGTTTGGTACGCAGTGGTTTCTGGACCACCTCAATACCTGTGCAAAGACGATGTCAGGCACATCACGGAGAGGAGAAGTAGTGAGTACACGAGTAACTGGGGGAGGATTTGACCTGCAGAGTCTATTAGTGACCACACTAACGGGGAGAAGATCAGCTGCTTTCTAGGTCCTAGTCCATAGGTCTGACAATTGGCAAATGCGTGTTTTTACTTGCAAACTGAGGAGATGTGGCGTGATACGTCCAACATGATGTACATGATGATACCGTAAAACAGGCATCTCTTTTCAGGTGAGCCCATGCTTCTGCTTTCGTGCCTCTTTTGCTCTTTGCTTGCCATTTGCCATTTGTCTGTCCTATGAGTCAAAAGTTGACTACAGCGTGGTAAAACACCCAGACTCCCATTTATTTCAATCAGTAATGTTCTGTGGTCTGCCCTTTGGCTAATTCCCGCCTCTTACTTGCCTGACTCCTTTAAAAAAAAACATGTTTTTTAACTGTATGATACCAGATTTGCAGGACTGATCTTCTCTAAGCATCTCACACTGCATTGTCTTGCATATTTTACATTTGTGTTCTAATTAAGTCATCAGGTCATGATGGCTGGGTGTTCACATTCATGGCTCTTTTCTGAATGATGAACAGTGGAAGGAAATCTCCAGGAACCTGGAACGTGCATGCAAATGAGTTGATCTTATGTGAACTTTCAACATGCTCTTCCAGGCTGAGTTTGGAGTTGATACGTGATCTCGGATGGGATTCCCTGGAAACTGAAAAACCCTGCTTAGCTCTGGCTCTTCCAGTACATGCTCCCACACATCTCCTTGAATGGTGGGCATCATTCCTCAGCAAAATGTAGTGAGAACAGTTCAATCCAAAATGCCAGGAGAGAGTAGTTCTGGCCGTAGGAAAAGCAGAAAAATACGTGACACATGCTAGACCAGGTGAAGGAGCAGAAGCTATCTGTAGAAACGCTGCTCAAGGCTGGGTACCGGTCCTGTAAGAAGGAAGAAGCAGTGGGCTGAGACGCAGTATTTGCTTTCTTTCCAGACTCGTGTCAGCTGTGTTTTGGTCTGCGCTGTCTTTCCGCTGCTGTTCCTGCCCTCTCTCCTTAAGTGTCTGTCTGCTACAGTAATGAAAGACTTTCTTTGCGTTGTGAAACCAGTAAGTGGGATGTTCCTGGGTTCAG